TGGCACCTCTCAGCCCTGTGGAGAGTGACATCAGCAGTGACAGAGACCATGGGCTTCCACAGTTCCTCACGCGCAGGCTTGGGACTTCTCATCTGCCTTGTTATTTATTAAATGAGATTCTGGTTACTTTCGTAAAAGGAAAAAAGAAGGTGTTCTTTCTCTCTCCCTGCCCCCACTTCCCTCCCTCCTTCTCTCTCTCTCTCTCTCTCTCCCTCCCCCTTCTTTCCTTCCATTCTCTCTCTCTCTTCCTCTCTCTTTCTCTCTCTTTGTCAAATAAAAAAAAAAATCTTAAAAAAAAAAAAAAAAAAAAAAGATGTCAATTCTCCTAAAATTGATGTATGAGATCAACAAAATTTCAATCAAAATCTCAGCAGGAATTTTTGTAGAAACTGTCAGACCAACTGTAAAATTCATATAGCCATACAAAGGACCTAGAGGAGCGAAAATGACTTTGAAAATTAAGAACAAAATTGGAAAACTAACAGTACCTTAGTTCAAGGCTTATTATAAACCTAGAGCACTGTGCGGTATTGATGTAAATATAAACAACAAAACAACAAAAAAAATGAAAATAATAGAAAGTCCAGGAGATCCATACGTGTGGACAATTGATTTTTTACAAAAGGACAAAAGCAATCCAGCAGAGAAAAAGTAGTCTTTTTCAACAAACAGGTGCAAGAATAGTTGGCTGTTTATATGTTAAAGAACCAAACTTTGATCCACACCTCACACCGCATCATATACAAAAAGTCACTCAAAATGGATCACGGGCTTAAAGGTAAACCTAAAACTGTAGAACTTCTAGAAGAAAAAATAAGAGAAAAGGTGACTTTGGATTAGGGTTAAAAGAACAAATTGATAAGTCATATTTCATCAAAATTTAAAACTTTTGCTCCGGGAAAAACACTGCCAAAGAATGAAGAGGCAAGCAATAGAAATGAAGAAAACACTTACAGTTTTGTATCTAATAAGGGAGTTGTTATCTAGCACATATAAAGAACTCTCAAAACATAAGAAAACAAATCAATTTCTTTTTACTGGGCAAGGGTTTTTAATAGACACTTCTTCTACGGAGATACATGATGGCCACCATGTACATAAAAAGATGCTCATTATCATTTGTCATGAGGAAAAAAAATAATCAAAACCACAATGAGATACTACTACACACCTATTTAAAATAATGATCATGCCAAAATGAAATAATGACCATACCAAGCCTTGAAGGGGATGGGGAGGAGCTAAAACTCTTATACTGTACACTAATAGTGGAAATGGAAAATTTACTTTAGAATTTAGAATGTAAAAAACTTAAGAAAATAATTTAGCAGTTAAAGTGTTAATATATATACCTACCATATGAGCCTACCATTCTACTCCCAGCTATTTGCTCAAGAGAAAAGAAAGCATATGTCCATGCAAAGAGTTACGTATAAATGTTCACAGAGCTTTATTTGTAATATCCAAAAAAAGTCCCAAACAACCTGAATATCTGGCAACAGGTGAACGAATTAACAACAAGCTGCAATTTATCCATGCAGTGGAATACTAGTCAGCAATAGCAAGGAATGAACTAGTGGTACAACACAGAATTAATTTCAAAATAAGGATGCAGGGTGAAAGAACTCAAGCCAAAAGGGGCATCTACTGCATGATGTCATTTATGTAAATCCCTAGAAAATGCAAACTCATCTGTAGCAACAGAGAGATCAGTGGTTACTTGTGGGGTAGGACATGGGTGCGGTGGGAAGGAGACTGTTATTAGGAAAGGGACAAGCAGAAACGGGGGGGGATGTATAGGTACATTATCTCCCTTGTAGTCATAGTTTCATGGCTTCGCGGGCATATTCATATATCAAAACTTAAAACTCGTACTTGCTAAATAGGTAGTTTATTATATAGCACTTGTACTATGGTTACACTGTTAAAAAAACTGATGAGTACCTTGGCCCAGATCTCACTTTAGTAAGTGGTAGAGTTGGGATTCAAACCCAAGTTTCTGGCTTCAGAGTCCATGCTCTTAAGTCTCAGCCACTAAATATACAGGAAAGCATGGCTGCTACTATTATTATCATTATCATTGATAATAATCAATCCTAGGTCTGTCCTTCATACACACCGACACTGCCCCCAGAGAAGCAAAAAGACTCGTCAAATTTCCCCTAGGAGTGAGCAACAAACCCGAGACTCTTGCCTGCACATCCTGACTCCCACTCTGGAGCCCCAGGCCTTCTTCTCTGCCATGAAACCCCTGGCCAGTCAATATGGGACAGCAGGTGGTGCATTAAGGAAGCACACCACACCCCCCCCTTACATCCTGGCACCATCACCTGCTGAGTGAGAACGGATTGTTTACGTGACACCTTAGTTTTCTCATTGGTCTGCGAGGACATAAGAACAAAAAATGCCCCAATGTGAATGACAAATTATAAGGTCACTTCAGCATTATTTGATCCTGGGACACAGGAGATCACCAGAAAGGAATAGAGGACATGGAAAGCAGAGGTGAAGGACCGAAAACCAGTGTTACCACTTTAGGACTGTCCGAAGGCACTTCTGGAATCCCCACCAAGAGGTGTTGAAAAACAGAGCACTCCAGCCAACCCGGCTTTCATGTTGATGGGCCGGGAGGTGCCCACCCTAGAAAGCCTTTGAGAATGTTTCCCCCCGGGACTTCAGGAAGCCAATACAGTAATAACAGGATCCAGGCTTTGTGTTTTTAACAACCCATTTATAGGAGAAAGTCTTTCTGGCATCTTAGGTATTCTCCTTCCCCTCCCTTTTATTCCTTTCACTTCCTTCATTCCAACTACCTAAGCACCTCAGATGGAGAGAGTGAGGAGGCCTCTCTTGTGCCCGTCCCAGATCAATACTATGTTCTCTCTCTCTCTCTCTTTCTCTCTCACACACACACACGCACACACACACACAGAATTCGAACTATTCAGGCAACTTTTTATTTTAGTTTGGAGCTCCTCCTTAAGAAGATCCTAAAACACAAAATCACACATAAATAGTTTATTTGAGAGGAAATCCCGAGAAACACTGTCAAGGAAGTGGGGAAGTGAGATGGGGAAGGGAAGACGGCTGATAATAGACTTGTTATCAAGCAAGTCATCACTGTGGACAATTAGAGCTTCATCCCGCTGCTATCTCTGGGAGCCAGTGTAGAAAATACACCTCGGGGTCCTGCCATCTGAGCACTGAGAGAGCTGAGCTATTTATACACTAATTCCCATCAGTCATTGACCGAGTCGATGCTGCCTTTAACAAGCTGAACCTAGTGAGGGAGACAAAAATTTAGACAGTATAAGCTCCTCGATGGCTGCTCTATGTCTTATTCAACCTTAAACTCAGCCTGATGTAGGGTGGTTTCCTGACACTGGGAGCCCCCTATGCTGAAAGCAAAGCAGGGGGCCAAAGCAAGCTCCAGCTACCCGAGACAGACTTCAGGCAAAGAAATGCAGCTGCTGGCATTGGGAAGGTGGTTGGCATGCACTGAAGGGGTCAGAGTGAGGGTGGGACATAAACACTTGCTTTCCTAGGACATTACAGCATCCCTTAGCAAGCCTGACTAACATACTTAGTGGAGCATGCTCACCGGATACTCATGGGCTCACCCACATTTCCCAGCCATGTAACCAAAAGACTATGAGCAGAAGCGACAAGCATCATTTCCAAGTGAAAGTATTTATGAGTCAGTATGCAACCCTTCTACCCTCCCTTCTCTATAGGAGCAACCCAAAAGCTATACGTCCCATCCTCGATCCTGGCATTACCACCGGGAAAGGGGCTGATCCAGAAGGCTGAGGGACCCATGGCCAACGTTGCAGAAAAGAGAAACAAACCTCTATGTTCAGCCCCTGAAATGTCCAGATTTACCTGTTGCTGCCGCATAGCTTAACTGAGCCTGTCTAATATGTTAAGGTCTTTTGTCCTTCTTTTAAGTTTACATATTCATCCAACAAATACTTACAAATAAGCTAACATGTAATTATGATGTCCCGGACAGTATTTTTGGTGCTGGCGAAACAGCAGGGAACGAAAGGATAAAAACAGGTCTGCCCTTATGGGGCATTATACATACTAGTGGGAAGTCACCCTTGCCATAAAGGGAAAAAGTTTGTTTCTCCTCACAGTCATTGTAAGAGGTGCAATAGGAAATAAGCGTCTTGAGAGAAAGATGTTCTGGTATGTTGATGGGAGGAAGTCCATTGGTTGACCTGTACAAGGCAAGGATGTTAGACAACAAGAAAGGAAAATAGCAAGGCGAACTGCTCTTTGCATATTGTTTCAACATATGGGCCAGGCTCCGTGCTAGATGGCAGAGATCAGAAGGTAACTTATGCCATGCTTCACAAGCTGAATCTAGTGAAGGGAGAGAAATATACACCAAGTATAAATTCCTTGATGGCTGCTCTGTGTATTATTAAACTTTGAGTCTCAGCCTGACGCACGGTAGATGCCAACAAAGATTTATAAAATCTACTAAGAATTACATAATACTGTTTCACTTGATCTGAAAAGAAAAACCGCATTAGAAGAACAAATCAACCCATATCTCTGCCTGTCTTCACCCTCAGCTTTTGCACACCAGTGCCGAAGGAGACCAGGGCTAGGACTTCCTACATCACTCCTGGAGTGCGTGGCACATGGCTCTGGAACAAGCAATCAACTGAAAGATTGGGCTCTGGGGATATGAGCATCAAAGAACCAACAGCTGTCCGGAGCTCAACTTGAACTTGAAAGCTAGATAGAGTAATCTGTAAGATGGAATGTGAGCCCTTGGGACTAAAACTCAGTCAGCAACCTTCCATTTGAGGTATGTCCCGTCTACATACCTCAGTGCAAATGGCAGCAGTCCGTTGCAAGGACTTGCGAACATTTCAAGAAACTAATACCTCTAGCATTGCCCCAGGTTTGGAGGGAAGTAAAGGTACCACGTGCATCCAGAAAAGAAGTCAAATTGGTGCCTTTGTTATGTCTTGGGATCTCTTGTTGCCATATTCTCACCACCAGGGATGTTCTCTTCTACCCACTTGCCTCTGTCCTGCTGGGACTCTCTTGGTGTCTGTTGAATGTAAGCAGATCCTAAGGAAAGTCTTTGGCAGATTCTGCTCTGGGAGAACTGACAAACTTAAGCACTACAACATCTTTCATGAAGTATCACAATCAAAATAAATCAAAGTTGTAGAACTGCATACACATTTACCATTTAGCAACACAATTTACAGCAGGGTTATCCTTCCCCTGAACACAGAGCACCCTCAACCTCTTCTCTAGGAAATATTAAAGGTTCAGGACATCTGTGACCTAGGAGTCACCACTCATCCAGGGATCTGTGGAGAAGAGAGAGCACTAATTCCCCCTATTGGACCATTCCCATTTGGCAATGGTTCGCAGGGTGTCACCTCTGCGCATCCTTGTGCTCACGGGCTCCCACTTCTTAATGACTGTTCGATTGCTGGTAGATTAGCACTATTTAAAACACAGAATATCTGCAGTGACCACTACAAGTTACCAGCCCCTTTTATCCTCAGGTCAATTCCTCTTAGCTAACAGCTTTGTCTAGCCGATAAAAAGCTCCGTGAAATCTAATCCAAAGCACTGTGAAGTTCAGCAATCTCTTTCTGTTAGATCTACAGCCTACCCCATAACTTACCCCAACAGTTGGAAATAATATTAACTGACCCCCTCATAAGCGTCAGAAACCAGTTGCTTCTCACTACCAATCATCTATTTTTGGAAATAACTGCAAAGCAAGCATATGGCCAGTCCTAGCTCTCACTCTTAAAAGCAATGCCCGTTGGTCTTTCGTCTGCCCCTCATTATTTGGTTCTCTTTCCTATCCACCCACCCCCTCGTATGACTTTAGCCCTAAGGACTGTTTTTCCTCTCTTCATTCCCTCCCCACCCCCAATCCTTACCCTTGTACCACAGCAAACCACAGCTTACCTATGTGGAATGCAGAAGAAATGTTTTCCTTTTGATATTAAAAAGTCCTCCCACCAATTAAGTAAACATTGGCCACACCGCAGAGCTGGTATGTTATTGCAAAGCACAGGAGAGCACAAAGCCGGAGTTTTTGCAGAGCTGTGTCAAAAGGAACCTCAGGCTTTGGCCTCACCTCCAGGGAAGAGATGAAAACACGCTATGCACGTGTCAGAATGCCAAGTGCAACCATATGCATGCATTGCTACGGTGTCAGAGGACATGACTGAACAACGGGATCTTCTTACCTATTTGCTCATGGGATTCCCTCTCCTCCTCCCAGATGGGATCCAGGCTCTGATCAAACATGGTGCTCTTGGAGGTTTGTCTCTGGCGACAATAGGTGGACCCTGGAACCCTGTGGTCAATGGGGCACTTTCATAGTCCTGGGCTTCAGGGACTGCGGAACAGAAGGCTGAGAGCCAGACTCTGCCACAGGCATCAGCCAAGTGCACATCTTTCCCGAATTTCTGAGGGTCATGACGTTCTTAACCACAACTGTAAAACAGGAAGGTGGGACGAGGAAACATTTAAATGATTCTTTTCAGCTCACCTGTGGGTCAGTGTGGACAATTTGCAACTGTCTGAGATGAAGTTTCAATATTCAGTCATGCATCATTGAGCCAAGGCTGTCTATTCTCAGGCTTCACAGAGGGAATGTGGCATGCTGCTCCCGCTCTCTGTCTGATGTGCCTAATGGTCCAGGAGGCCGTTTTGACTCCCCTTCTCCATTTCCCCATCCCTTAGAAGAGACAATTCCAATTCTTCAACAGAGCCTCAAAGAGGACCCAGAAATAATAAGGTCCCCATGTGAAAAGTCGCCTGTGGTACCCATAGGGATTCCGCCAGTTATTAATAAAAACACCACACGGAAGGTTTCCATTTTTCCCCAGTTTCTCAGTATGTGGTTACTTTTGTCCACGGCATCCAAGGGCGAGTTAATTTTATTAAGAACATTATGAGACGGCTAGCATGTCAGAAGTTGACACTACTCTCTCTCCAGTCCTCTATTCTTGGTAACATGGTTACATATCAGCTGGCTCCAAAAGCCAGTTGCGCCTTTTTTCAATCTAACAACCATTCTGTGGATAGCATTTGTTTTCCATTGCTGCCAAAGAGACAATCTGGCTCTCATTTCCTTTGAAGAAGCGCCCATTCTGATGAGTCAGGTCTACAATGGGAATAATTAGGTCAAATAAATGAGCCCTTCCAGCTGCCTGTGGCACCACTCGACACCCCCATGTTGCAGATAATGGAGACAACGTGGGAGCAAAAGCAGAGGTTATCTGTTGAGTTATACCTACCTCTTGCCCAAGGGACGTTATCAAAACGTACGCAAGGTAATCACGGCTCCTCTCTTTGCATCTGGAAAAGTGAAAATGGATCCATAAAATCGTGTGGTGGTCCCACTGCCTTCCCAGTCTACAAGAGAGGGCTCCTATCCCATGAGGAAATGCAAACCAGCTGGAAGGTCTCAAGACAGGCTTCTGCGTTGTGTCCCATTTGTCCTCATGGGCTCCCAGTCACCTTCTCCTGGGCTGTCGTGTCCACTGGCAGGAGAGAGAGGAAATTCAGTGAGATTGGAGTCATACACCAGCTCTTGTTAATGCTCTGCTCAAGCTGGTATGTGCAGCTCATCACTCAGGCAAGACACTCACGTAGTCTATCAGTTTGCTCAACAACCTATACACATGGCAGGAGATGAACCTGGGCTCGGATTAGAAACGCCAACCTGTTACCCAGATTCGGGAGTTCCCCCACCCAGATCTGGGTGGCAGGAAGTGGGGAATAGAGAGAAAAACCTTTATAAGGTAGTCTTTCATCCAAGAGGCTCATTACTCAGGGCAGGCGGGGAGGAATCTTTGTTTCTCCCTCATCTCTCTCCTTTTTTTAACTTTATTAAACCATCTGGAAATTACTATAATGTAGGAGCTCTCAAAAGTTGCACCACCAAATCCCACCAACCTGGGATGTTGTACCTAATGTTGATTAGGGTCACGGACCTCAGGCAAGGGTTAATGACACATCTCACCCTACATCAGCCTGACCAGGCCAGGTGCTCTTTCCAAGCAGCATGTTCTCATAAAGATCCCACCACTTACTTTTTAAATCAAAACCACCATCTGAAGCCTCTCATGCAAGTGATTATTTTGAGTTGTGGTTGATTTGTTTCCCCACAGGTTCCATTATTTTGGATTATGCCAGCTCTACAAAAAATGAGAAACTTCTTCTCTGAAAAAATAAAAAGTTAGGGGCGCCTGGGTTGCTCAGTCGGTAGGCGTCTGCCTTCAGCTCAGGTCATGATCCCAGGGTCCTGGGATTGAGCCCCGCTTCAGGCTCCCTGCTCCAAGCGAAGCCTGCTTCTCCCTCTCCCACTCCCCCTGCTTGTGTTCCCTCCCTCACTGTCTCTCTCTCTCTCCCTCTGTCAAATAAATAAATAAATAAATTTTAAAAATAAATAAAATTAATTAATTAAAAATAAAAAGAGAAATTCAGCTGACATTGAAGTAATAGGTAGGAACAAAACCATTGCTTCCCAGTCCTTCATGCCTACAGGGATGGACGCATCTCACGCCTACCAGATGGTGGATGATGCCCGAGTAGAAGCCCAGGAAGGACAGGATAGCTGTGAGCCTCAAAAATGAGCCCATTTTCAACTGTTCTGGGGCAATTGATGTCAAAGTCAGCGTACCATAAAATATCTTTCATTCAGTCACCCAGGAAAGAGGATCTCATAACCCTAAATGAAGAGGAATTACTTTTTTCTTTTTTTTAATCTCCTTCTAGCCTTTAAACAATCTCATTCACTTGTCTTGCCCTAATCTAACTTCCTCTCCTGGGATGTGTCTGCAAGGCTCATTACTAAGAAATGCTGGCATCAGCCACATCATAGGCTTAAGACTCCAGCACCTCTGCTTCCATGAGCAAACCTCAGCTGTTGCAAAGTGAAGCCATATTTCACCTCCCCCAAGAGGCCAGATCTAAGCTATAGCACAAACTCCAGAAGGATGGGCAGATGCGGGGTGAAGAAGGGAGACTCCCTCACTGGGGCAGGGGAGCTACTGTAGGTCCCCTGCCACCCCGTGGAGCACACAGCTAGCTTTGTTCTGCCATCCCAGGCCAGAGGTGCAGCATGGTTCATGCATACACCAAGTTCAGTATGTGCTTTAGGTCAAGGCAGGAGTGGTGTGCTCACACGTGCAGCCACTGAAGCCTGGGATGGGGCTCAGTGAGGCGAGGAGAGGGAGTCGAAATCGAGCAGGGCCCATTAATTCATCGAGCAGGCCCTTGTCTGAGCTGGCTGGATTAGAAATGAATTCCCAGCAGGGTGGCCTCATGGCGCTGCTGCTATAATCGGGGTGGGGACCTCAAAGAGTTTTAATTGCTGGTAATACAAACGGAACAAAACTTTAAAATGCAGCTTCCTCCTGGTTCCCCCCACCACAACCACCCTGTGTCATCTTTAATCTGCATTTGGGAGGATATTAAGATTTGGGGTATATCAAGAGTACAGAGGAGAAGGAAAATCCTGTGATGTGAAATATTCTTTAGCAAGAAAAGCAATCGGAGAAGTGACTATAAATCCACTTCTGCTGTTTGTTCTCTTTTCTCTACCTCTGATTCCCCCCAGTAAATAGTAAAAAGATGATGGCTTTGGAATTCATGTTTTTACTGGAATTGGAAGGAGCTTTATCAAAAGAAGTCCAGAACGCTCCCTTTTCACCTGAAGGAGGACAAGGCACCCCCCACCACCACCATTGGAGTACCAGGTGGGGGGGGGGAGGGGGAGCACTGCTGATAAGCTCTTAGCAATTCCCCTATTTGCAGACACTAAAGAGCCTTTACTTGAAAACTGGTGAATAAGTTTTCTTTTGTGTCATGAGAATAGGTGACCTTTTCCCCCTGAATTCCCATCCTGGGGGCCAGGGAAGAGAGCCCAGGATCCCTTCTCTTGGCCTTCACACCGTGGGAAAGAGTATCTAGAGTTTAAAAGCCTGATAAATGCCCTCGAACAGCTTTGAAAATCACTCAGCGTGAGCACTTGCCCCCTGAACAAACATCCACGTTGTATCGCGACAGGCATGCCTCAGGGTCTTTGACCCAGTCACAGACACAGGGCCAATTTCCTTTGTCAATAGATTCATGCCACTTGTCTCGCTCCTGAAAACAGTTTCTAAAGAATTCTCCAGTGAAGTCAGTTTCCTAGGAGAATCCATCACATCTCCCCAGCAGATATTTCTACCTTGCAAACCATTAGATAAACTTAAAGAACAAATTAGTCCTCACGGTCGGCCTCCCCAGCCCTTCCCCAGTTCACTACTTAAATCACTCTACTTTCTCAGAGGATCTGAAGCAAGCTTTCAGATCAGAGCCCTCCAACCAAGAGCCCAAGTACATAACTCATAAGAACAATCGCCCAACAACTGTTTCTTCAATTTCTCACATCTGGTATCTGCTCCCTTGTGAATGGGACAGCCACCAGCAGGAAGGGTTAGGGTGGGAGTGAGTTAAGTCTCGAAAAAAAAGAGGCGATGGAAAAGCAGAGAGATCAGAACTGTCCCAGGAGGCAAGTGTCGGTCAAGGGCTCTGAAACCCTTCACATAGGTCTTTCTACTCTGTCTTGATTTTGTCCATCTCTCCAATTTTATGTACTGGCCACCCTAGAAACTATGAGCTCTGCCTAGCCAGTTACAAGCAACTGCTAGTTACTTGAGAAAAGAGTCTGTTCCTCGGCAGAATCAGAACAAAATCGACTTTGATTTGGTTGGTATCCCGAAACTGAATTAAGCATCGTTAATGGCATGGTATGATAAAAAAAAGCACTGACTTAGACGTTAGGGAAGCCCGAGTTGTGTACTTTGCCTCTGCTGCTTGTCAGGCAGTGTGGCTACTCACCGAGTCTCTGCTTTCTGCTTTGTAAAACTGAAAAGATGACACCACTTACCTTGTATGAGTCAAATAAGAATAAAATGAGAAAAAAACAAAATGACAGTAGGTTTTTAACACACTTGATACAGTGTCATAGTAAATAGTGTCTAGTTCCCTCTATCTTTGATGTACATACAACTATAACCAGGACCCCATCATTAAACTGGTTCTGACATCTTGACTTGTCGTGGTTTCCTTTATAAGAGTTAACAAACAATGCCAGTTGCCAGCCCCGTTACCCATAATCGTTGTAATATTGATGCACCAAAATAATAACATGGTAAATTATAAAGGCAAGTCATTTCACACAAAAGGAGGAAAGGAAAGGCTGGAAAGAGATGAGAAGTAAATTCACAACTTTAGCAGCGCAACCTCTCAAAGAAAGAAGTTTTCCTGTATTTTAATATGTCACTTTAACGTAGAGTATAATATTATAGAAGAACATTTTATTAAATTATAGAATTTCAGGGTTATAAAGCCCAAATCCTTCCACTGATACCTGAATACCATGTGAAATACTTTTTACTTTTAATTTACTCTTTAGAGTACTTTTTTTTAAAGGCTATTTGAGGATTCCCTGAGGTAAGCAAGATGGTCACAATCCAGGAATAAGAGGTTTGAAGTCATGAAGGCAGGTAACTTGAGACAATCCTCTTGGTTCATATGTACTGAACTGTAACTGGATATATGCCCTATAATTTCTCTTTGGAAGAGATGGGGGGGATAGAAGAAATTTACAAATCTAAATGTGCTCCCTCGTGGGCACAGCCACTGTGGACTGCAGACTGACCATGCAGTGAAGGGTGAAGTTCAGCTAGTTCATGTGGCCCAGAGTCCATGGCGTCCAAGTCCCCTGGGGTAGATGGCTTGGTGGTGGTGGGTATGGAAAATGGGGCTCCAGCCTGAACTCCTGAATAGAATCTTTGAAGACGGTTCTGAAATTAGCATTTTGCACAAAAATTCACATTTTTCATAAATTCTAAAAGTGAAACCCTATTTATAATGTGAAAAAAAAGTGATGAGACAAAGCATTATACTCATCACTGGAAAGAGGCAAAGGAGCTTACGTATTAATGGAGAGAAAGAGGAAAAACAGAAAGCCAGTCATCTTAACGTGCAGATGTGTCATAACGTGTCACTTAAAAAGCACCCATGTAACTCATTCCCAACTCAACTGCCTCTGGGAGAATCCGATTAGAAATATCACCCTGTGCCTCTAAAATGAGTCTCAAAGTTTAGTCACATTTAAAATAAAAGAATAGAAGCAGAAAATATTCATTTGCCTCAATATAATACTCAAACACTCAATACTACTTTTTTTTAAGAGTCCAAACATGGTGTTCTTTAGCAAAAGAAAAGCCTACTGGGAAAATGATATTGTTTTGCTGGGTCTGAATGCATCTTTCTAGAAAACCAACTATGCTGCACTCAGCCACAGGAGGATAAATTCTTCAGAAAGAATCTCAGCGAGTTGTTTAACTTAAAATCACAAGCAGAAAATTTTTTTAATTTCCAGGAAAAGGAATCAGCACCCTCTTCCAGTTCATTGAGAGATGTGGGAAGTGCGTGTCATATTTACCAAAGGGTAAATGCTTCCTAACCATTCTAACGAGAGCTCCTG